CAAGAAGGCTTAACAACAATGCTATATCAGCTTCAGGTGTACCACATAGTAATTCCATATTTTTATAGATTATACTCCATACAAAGTCATAACAAAACATTGACTATGCTCCCCGTGCTGTATATTACATCCTTGTAATTTATTTATTTTATACCTAGTGGTTTATACCTCTTAATCCCCTTCATCTATTTTGCCCTCCCCCCCCCCATTCCCCTCTGGTAACCGCTAGTTTATTCTCTGTATCTATGAGTCTGTTTCTGGTTTTTGTTATATTTGTTTTATTTTTTAGATTTCACATGTAAGTGAAAATATACAGAATCAGCCAGCTATACTTCAATAAAAAAGAAAAAGGAAAAAGAAAGAGCAGGCTTAACTAACTAAATGCTTAGGTCCAAGCAGTATTTTGGCCTCTTGTTTATTTTGGTGTGTTTTGTTTTGTTTTGTTTTGGGGGGTGTTCAGTTTGGTTTGGTGTAGAGACTTGCTGGATTTTGCAGGAACCTACTTAAGGGCATAGGACTTATGAATATAGAGAAGCATTAAGAGTTTGAACAACCCACCCAAAGACACACAGTGAACATGGAGGGAATCACACTTATACCCAGTTTGGCCTTACTTGAAGTTATCTAGCTTCAGAAAACCCCAAAATCTCAGGATTCACAAAAGTCACACAGCAGGCACTTAACTCTCACAAGACTAGGGAAGTGAGATTTGAAATTTATTCAGATTTCCATGGACAGAGGGCTTTAACACACATGGCAAGGATATATATAATAATGTAAAATAGTGAAATTATGGTCAAATATATATCATTTTAGACAATCAGTCATTTTATCCACAAGAACATTAAAGACTAAAGATGTTTAGGTACTTGAGTAAGTTAAAAACTAACAATCAAGCTTGTATTTTTAAATTCTTTACAATCTATATTTATTCTATAATATTTAAGTAATTATTCTTTTGGATCTAGAACTTAATGAGAGAGATAAATTTACCACAGTGATGATGACTTATTCTACAGTTCTATCAATTTTTGCTTTAGATATTTTAAGGCTATGTTTTCAAAGGTTCATTCAAGTTTAGAATTATTATATCTTTCTGTAAATGGAATCTTTCATCATTATCTAGTGACTCTCCATCTCCAGTAATGCATTTTGCCTTAAAGTCCATTTTGCCTAATATTAATATGCCAGTACCAGCTCTCTTTTGGATAGGAACTTTCTTTTGTGTATTCTTTGATTATTTAATTTTCAACCTTATATTTTACTTCATATTTTTGTATTTACTCTAATAATCTTTTAACTTAAACATTTGGCCATTTACATTTATTGTAATTACTTAATTATTTAAATTTATTATTATTGTATTAATTTGCTAGAGCTGCCATAACAAAATACCATAGACTGGGTAGCTTAAATAACAGAAATTTATTTTCTCATAGTTCTCAAGGCTAGAAGTCCAAAACAGATCAAGGTGTTGACAGATTTGGTTTCTTCTGAGGCCTTTCTCCTTGCTTGCAGATGGTTCCTCTCACTGTGTCTTCACATGGTCTTTTCTCCATGCACACAACCCCCCAATGTCTCTCTGTGTGTCCAAATTTCCTCTTCTTATAAAGTCAGATTGCATTAGGGCCTACCCTAATGGGCTCATTTTTACTTAATTAACTCTTTAAAGGTCCTTTGTCTAAAACATTCTCTGAGGTACTCAGGATTAGGTTTCAACATATGGATTCTGAGGGAACACAATATATCCCATAATACTATCATTACATTTGTGTATTTTACTTGTCCTGCCTCTTCCAAATTTTTCCTCTTCCTTCTTGCCTTCTGTTTCATTGATCGATTGCTTTTTCCTCACTTTGTTTTATCCTCTAATAATTTAAAGATGATATACACTATCACCTGTTGTGACCCAAATTTATACATACATATTTAGCAAATTCTAAAGTTAATCAGTATAGCTGCCCTCATTCTAAAATATTTAGACACTCCAACTTTAACTCTGACAACTTTCTCTAAACATACCTTTATATAAAAAATTGTAGGCATACTGTTATTTTTATTACAGAAGATACTGTTAACATTTGTTTATATTGACCTATATATTTATAATATTTGATTCTATTCTTTATCTATTCTATTTTTTTCTTATTATTCTACTCTTTATCTCTAACTTGCCAGCTGGAGTCACATTCTTTTGCCTGAAGTACATCCTGCAGAATTTCTTTGAGCAAGAGGCTGTTGTTAGCCAAGTCTCTTATTTATTTATTTATTTATTTATTTAGTCTAAAAAATCTATATATTGTTCACCATAAAATTGTTTTCTCTGGATGTAACTCTGGAATGATTCTTCTTTTCTCTGAACACAGTGGAGATATTTTTTCATCCTTTTTTTGTTTCTCAGCTTTATGTTGCTGCAATAGGTCCTGTTAGTCTCTCTATCTGAAAGACGGGATTTTGTTTCCTGTCAGCCCCATCTGATATAATCATGAAATCTTTGCTGAGATTCTCTAAGGTTGGGCAAATACCTGCAAGACAAGGATGACTTTAGGGTTCTGCTTTCCTCTCTGGGCTGCTGCTTTCATTTATTTTTTGGACTCTGAGTATTCATCATTTTCTTGCCAGTGTATCAATGCATGTTACAAGTTATTTTTTAGATTTTATACAGATTTCATATTTGTTTTCAGCACGAAGGTCAGTTACAATATCTGGTATGATATTCTGCTAGAAGAATAAGGCTGGTCCATCTCTCATTTAAAGAGAGAAAGACAGAGAAACAGAGACAAAAACAGACAGAGAGAGACAGAGGAGTTTTCTTTTCTGTTAATAGAGTTCCATTTTGAAAGGAAAGGACTTATTTTGGATCTTTTTCCCCCTCTCAGTCCCTGCATGATTTGCCTTATTGCATCAGGAGCAGCCTTGATTGAATAAAGATTACAAGCACCTTTTGTATTACATATGAAATATGTATAGCTCATGGCCTTGTTTAAGTAGGGACAGCAAAGTTAGTTATTGGTTTAGTTGTGTGAGAATCTCAAGAAGTCTAAGTTACTATCCATTTAAATTTTGTGCTGTATAAACTAAAAACTAGGTGACTAAAAGCATGGAGAAATCCATATAAATTTAACTGGGAGTGACATGGGGGAAATGAGAAGGACTATGGATTGAGTTTATACACAATTGGGCACAGAAATAGCAATGAATATTAGTTCATCCAGGCATATCTATGGGAAACATCACTAATCCAGTACAACCCTCCCTCCCCTTGAGCTAAGAAAGTGCCTCAGAATTCTTCTTAGCACAGTCTTCTCAACACCCAGTGCTGTTCCATAGTAAGCTGGAAGATGAAGCATCAGCAGAATAACAAATAATTCTAAGTTGTGTCTCTCTTCCTCCACTTTTCTGTTGGCATATTGTTAGCAACCTGTTTTCATAGGTGTAGCAGGGGAAAGAATTATTTCAATTTTCTAGCTTCACCCTTTTGGAAACTCTGCTATCTGAGGTGACCTGTGTTAGTGCTCCCTATAATTGACTACACAAAGACCCAACAATTAACAATCCAGTAATTGCTCAAGAGGAACAGGAAGGCTTGTTTACACGTTCTTCCAAATATAGAACTTCTCCATGAAATTCTACATTTTGATCTAGATTTGGAAATGAATACTTTATGAACTTTTCCAATTACACTTAGCGTTTTTTTTCTTTTCCTTTTTTTCCTCCTAGAACTTGAGATCAATGTCTATTGGCTTGAGCAGGAAAAAAATACAATTCTTCTATTTGCATTACCTTGTTTCCACTTTAGGGCCTTTCTACCAGCTGTTCCCTTTTCCTGATAGGCTCCTATTCTAGATCTTTACAAGGCTTACCTCTTCTTAGCCTTCAAGTCTTGGCTTAAATACCTCCTCAAGGTCTTTTCTGATTACTCTACCTAAAGTAGCCTTCACCACCAACAACTCCTCTAGCCAACCATCTTCTTTATTTGCTTTATAACACTTATCCCTCACTGTAAGTATTGTTTTCTTTTCATGTCTATTGTCTGTCTCTGCTTGCCTCAACATAAGTTCCAAGAGATCAGGACCTTTACTGTCTTGCTTATCACTGTGTCCTTGGCACATTCAACAGTGTCTCACATGTAGTAGCTGCTCAAAGATATTTGTGAAGGAATTGATACAAAGGAGAAATACATACTTTCTGTATAGATTTGACCTATAGAATTAATTTTCTAAAGAGATTTTAATATGTAAAGAGATATTTTTAAGTGGTTCATTTTTTTAAAACTATTTATTTATTGGTCATGCTGTGCAGCATGCAGATCTTAGTTCCCTGAACAGGGATCAAACTTGCACCCACTGCAATAGAAGCACAAAGTCTTAACCACTGGACCACCAGGGAAGTCCCAAAAGATTTTAATTTGCAAAGAGATTTTAATTTTGTAGAGATTTTTTTTGACTCTTATGATAATAAAAAGAAGGGACCCCATTTCTCTATATATAACATAAAATATATAGCTGTTTAAATGGAAAAAGAATGTAATGATTAGAAGGACAAACACATGAGCCTGGGTTTTAATCTGAGCTTCTCAATTTACTAGCTGTGTGAGGTACTCAACCTCTCTGTTTTTCGGTTTTTTGACTTGCAAAATGATGACAAAGAGAAGACAATGGGACTGGGAAAAAAGTAAATAATGTTTTATTTTCAAATACTGAAAATAATGTCTGTCCTTAGGAAGACTTCTATGAATTATTTATTGATATTGTTATATACAATTGCTATATATAAACATTATCTGCATGTTCAGTTAACTTTTCATAAATTTCTTCACTGCCAGGAGAAAATAATAATACCTACCCCATAGGATCATGGTAAGTATGAAGCATAAAGCACTTAGAATAGGGTATAACACAGGTATCACTCAATAACTGTAGATTTTATTATCATGTAAAATTTACTGAAATGAGTTTTGTTCATTTCCTCTCTCCATTCTCTATTTTTCTATGTACTAGTCCGTGATCTTTATTCGTGACAGAAATTCTCATGGGCAGGAGGTGTCAGGATACATTGACTATGCCCACAGGCTAAAGATTGAAGATTTTGAAGTCTACTTTAGTGGAAAAAAAAGACTTCTTCCAAGACCCACAGATATGAGGTAAGTTGTGCACGTTTTTCACAACTTCAATAAGAGAACAAGCTTCTCAGAGGTAAAGATAAGGATTTTTATTTTATTTTCTGGAACACTAATGTATATATAGCAGGA